CTTTCGATCTGCTCTAGATGGCCAAGTGAGTTGGCCCGCAGTGCGAAGCCGCCGAATACGAAGATCTGTCCGGGGAGAAAAGTCTCACCCAGGACTGCGTCGTTGTCGATTGAAGAGGCCATCAAGCCTATCGGTGATGACACAGAGGAACTCTCAATGAAAGCACCAATGTCAGTGTCAAAACCGGCAGATCTTGGGTAGGGGGTCCCGAACTGTGCGTCTAGGCGGATGGTAACAGGAGACAAGGGACACGATGTTTTACCCAGGTTCGGGCCCTCTTGATGGAGGTAAAACCCTACGTCCTGCTTGATTGATATTGATATTGTGGATGTTTACAAGAGTGGATCTACCACGAGATCAAGGAGGCTAAACCCTAGAAGCTAGCCTATGGTATGATTGTAATGGTTGTTGTTGTTGTGTCCTACAGACTAGAGCCATCCGGTTTATATAGACACCGGAGACGGCTAGGGTTACATAGAGTCGGTTACAATAGTAGGAGATCTACGTATCTGTATCGCCAAGCTTGCCTTCCACGCCAAGGAAAGTCCCATCCGGACACGGGACGAAGTCTTCAATCTTGTATCTTCATAGTCTTGGAGTCCGGTTGATGATGATGATAGTCCGGCCGATGATAGTTCGGCTGATGATGGTAGTCCGGCTATCCGGACACCCCCTAATCCGGGACTCCCTCAGTCGTGCTGCTTTGCTCAATGCGGCTCCTGTCTATTTCCATTTTGTTGAGAGTTTCCTCGTAAATGAGGTTTAGTCCACTGTCACCATCCATGAGAACTTTGGTAAGCCGAAAACCATCCACAATTGGACTGAGGACTAGTGCGGCGGGTGCCCGCACTGTTCTGAATTTTGGTTCGTCACTGGCAATGAAAGTTATGGCCGTGTCGTACCAGGGGTTTATTGCTGCAACTTGGCAGACTTTGGCGAGGCCGCAGAGCACCCTTTTGCGCCTATTGTTTGAGGCGAAAGTCTCGAAGACTGTCAGCACTGTATGGTTGCTTTCTTCCGTGGGATGCTGCTCTACGGTATTTTTGATGAGGAGCTCCTCGCCGCTTTTGGCCACCTGCCGGAGTATCCAACATGCTCTAAGGATGTGGGTTGGTATGTTATCCGGTGTTGCGTGTATTTTGCATGGCCTATCGAGCCATCCCTCTAGGACGGTTCCGTGCCCCGTGATGGGCTTCGATTTTTTGATTACTGGATCGGGCGACCGGCGAGGGTGCACCCTTTTTGTTCGGGCGAGGGGTTTAGTAGGAGTCGGGCTCCCAAGAGGCTGCCTGAGTTATCCAGGCGCTCTCCATTGCGCAGTACTTCTGTACTATGGTTGCCAGGTCAGCGAAGAGTGATACGTGACAGTGATTGATTGCATTGAGGATTCCCTCGTCCGTGCAATTTTTGCAGAATAACGAGATTGCGTCTTCCTCGCGATAGTCTTTGATTTTGTCCTTGACAAGGAGGAATCTAGCCCAAAAGTAATGGACCGTTTCTCGGGACTGCTGTTTGATGTGGGTAATATCGCTTATATCTGGGTGGGTGGGTGGATTTAAGTCTGAACCCGGACCCAATCTGGGATCCGGAGCTTGAGAAACTTCCGAGCCTAACAGTTCGGGCTCCAGTACATCAACCAATTTCTCAGGCCCACAGTCCGATTCTAAGTTCGGAGTACGGGGCAGGTCTTCCCGCGGGTGAGTATCCGGCTTTGTGAGCTCGGAGATCCGAACATAGTTCGTCCTCAACATAGGGGAAGAGTCCTCGCACTGCTCCTCCAATACCGCTATCTGGTGGGTGAACGGTGGAGATTCAATTTCTCTCTGATCGGGTTTAAGCCCAATCTGATCGTAGTTCGTAGCGACTCCCAAGGTGGCGATGCGATCCAGGAGTTCGTTTAAAGACGACAACTCCGTCGGATCCATCTGTTCGGAGTATTCTGAGCTGACGCGGAGGCAATTTTCGATGACACAAGAAGTCATCGTCGGCGCGATGGCCGAGCAGGCTACCACGGTAAAGCCGCCAGCCGAAGGGTTTGGCCTGAGGCCAGGGCTCCCCCGGAGGTGATGTTGTCCTTGATAACAAGGTGAGACATCAAGCCTATCTTCAAGGAACATGAACGATTATGCATGTTTTAATACTTTGAAACATATTGTAATGAAAGCTATTGAGTCGTGCAGTGGTGAGTACAAAATAGATGAAGGAATGTGTTGTTTTTATTTGCTCGAGGGCCTAAGGCCAACTCCAACGCGCGACTCCAAACGGACGTTCGCTTTGTTCGTATTTCGTCTGTTTCGGGGTGGGAATGGGGCCGTGTCCGTTCGGATTCGTGGATGCGGCGGACGGGCGCCCAACGCAAGGCCGCATCTTGTTCGTTCGCCTAGCACAGTAGATAAAATGAAAATGATGCATATGAAATGGTTCAAATCAAACATAGCTCTCAAATAGTATTTACAACCCAATCGAAATTTGTTTGCATGACAAGAATTAAACTCATAGATCTATTGATCGCCAATGTGAGTCCACACGTGCTCAACCAAGTCATCCTGGTGCTGGACATGAGTATGCCAATCACGCAACTCTCGATGAAACTCGACAAATTGTTCAAAGATTACAGGAGGTGCATGCTCGGGCTCAACATTTTCACCCTGGAAACCAAACCCTTGGTCGTAGATGCTATCATCACGCTAATCCTTGAAAGAATCGAGAAGAGGTGTCTAGAGGGGGTGATTAGTCACTCAACAAGCAAAAGTAGCAGTTTTTAAGTTCTTCAAGTTGAGGTTGTAGATTAGCACAATTGTAAGCATTCCCAACACACTTCAAGCAAGCATGGCAAGAGTATAAGCAGCGGAAGCAGTAAAGCATCCTAGTTGCAAGAAAGTAAAGGGATGGGATTGGAGTGAGCAAACGCAATGAAGACACGAAGATTTTTGACGTGGTTCCGATAGGTGGTGCTATCGTACATCCACGTTGATGGAGACTTCAACCCATGAAGGTAACGGTTGCGCGAGTCCATGGAGGGCTCCACCCACGAAGGATCCTCGAAGAAGTAACCTTGTCTATCCCTCCATGGCCATCACCCACGAAGGACTTGCCTCACTTGTGTAGATCTTCACAAAGTAGGCGATCTCCTTGCCCTTAAAAACTCATTGGTTCAACTCCACAATTTTCACGGAGGCTCCCAAGTGACACCTAACTAATCTAGGAGACACCACTCTCCAAAAGGTAATAGATGGTGTGTTGATGATGAACTCCTTGCTCTTGTGCTTCAAATGATAGTCACGCCAACACCCAACTCTCTCTCGTAGATTTAGCTATGGTGGAAAAATGATTTGAGTGGAAAGCAACTCGGGGAAGGCTAGAGATCAAGATTCTTGTGGTTGGATTGGAATGTCTTGGTCTCAATACATGAATAGGTGGTTCTCTCTCAGAAAATGAGTAGTGGAAGTGTAGTCACGTTTTGATGGCTCACAAATGGAGAAGGGGGTAGTGGGGTATATACAGCCTCCACATAAAATCTAACCGTTACACACTTTTTACAAGCCCATCTTGGTGAGATCGAGATCCATGTCGGTGTGACCGAATTGATTAGGGTTTCTGGCAGTGACTATGTCAAGTCAACTCGGTGGCGCCAGATAGATCAAATCGGTGGGGCCGAGTTTGACTTTAGGTTTTGGACATATGTGGAAATGAGAAAGTGGTTGAGGGTTTTTGAGCAATATCACTATGCATTTTGAGCAAGCATACCATTAAGCAACACATCATCCCCTTTTAATAGTATTGGCTTTCCTATGGACTCAATGTGATCTTGGATCACTAAAATGAAAATGAAGAGTCTTGAGCCTTTGCCAATCATTGTCCTTAGCATATTGAAGGGGTTCCACATCTTTTTGTCCTTACCAATCCATTATTGAACTCATCTGAAATGTACTTGATAAAAACATTAGTCCAACAAGAGACGTGTTGACATTGATTACCAAAATCACGAAGGGAGCACTTGTGCTTTCAATCCTCCACGATCATGTTGTGCATGATCACACAAGCAGTCATCACCTCAAAAAGCTTATTCGTGCTCCATGTCAATGCAGGGTTACGAACGATACCCAGCCGAGACTGAAGCACACGGAAAGCACGCTCCACGTCCTTCCTAGCACTCTGTTGCAATTGGGCAAACCTCTATCTCTTCTCTCCTTGCGGATTGGGTATGGTCTTCACAAGAGTGGACCACCGAGGATAGATGCCATCAGCTAGGTAATATCCCTTGTTGTAGTGGTGGCCATTGACCTCAAAGTTCACCTTCGGGGAGTGCCCTTCCGCAAGCCTTGCAAACACCAGAGACCGTCGCGGGCGCGGAGGGAGGTAGAGGAAGAAAAAGGGGGTATGTCTCACCAACGGGCGGGCCAGGGCAGGACAAGGGCATGCGCCGCTCACGTCTGTGTGTGTCCGTTCGGCCGCAAACTCGACCCAAACTTGGGTCGGGAATGGGTCGAAAGCGGACAGAAAACGGACGATGGCCTGTTTGCGGCCGCGCGCTGGGAGGCATGTTTTGTCCGTTACCCTCAAACGGACACGGACGGACAAGATGGGATCGTGCGTTGGAGTTGGCCTAAATAACATTAGTTCTGTACCTACCCAAAACACGCCACATGCTCTGTTCTCACACTATATCCCACATGACACAAACACACGCCCGAATCGTATGCACAATCAAACAATTATATCTGCCACTCTTTTCTCACTTGTGCCTCTGTGTGTTCCACACTAATTTAGTACTAGTATCAATTTTTTTCCTCCCTAGATTATTTTGAACATTTTTTGCCGCTGCATGAAATTCAAAATTCTACTAGAATATGGCGAGAAGAACGAATCATATTTGGGATGAAGCGAAACATGAGAAATAATAATAATTCACATCAGCTATCTCAATTAGAAACCTGTTTCCCCCCTCTCTTCCTCCATTTTTGTGCTTTGTACAGAGTTTTTTCCGGCTGCCTAGTGTGCTATATGTATTGACCCTCCTCCAGTGGCCGGAGAAACCGGAACACGCGCGGGCCCGCCGGCGACGCCGTCTTGCAGGTGCATGCCTCCCCGTTGCGGACGCCGAGGTGGTAGCACAGGCAGATGCCCTGCTGCTGGTGCGACGTGGGCGTGGACTTGGCGGGCGGCGCTGTCTTGGGCGGCGAGCACGGCAGGCTCATGGACAGGTCCAGGTCGAGGTCCAGGTTCAGGTCGGGGCAGCGGGGCGCGTCGCTGCTCCCGCCGCTGCTGCTGTGCCCGTCGTCCGACGGCGACGGCCTCGCGAAGCTCACGGTGCTGCTCTGGAAGGCGAAAGGCGCGTTGGCGAGCCTGGAGGCCGGCGCCGGAGAGGAAGGGAAGACAGGGGCGGTGGTCGACGTGGTGAGCCCGCTGGCGGCGCTGATGGGGCAGTGCGTGTGCGGGTCCATGCCGCGGTTGAGGAGCTTGCGCTTGATGTGCGTGTTCCAGTAGTTCTTGATCTCATTGTCCGTCCGGCCCGGCAGCTGCCCCGCTATCAACGACCACCTGCACGACGGCGACCGCGGCTTTAGTCAATAACTGCCCATCTCCAAGAAACCAGGGACGGACGCAGAGGAAAGAAGAGGCGGAGGCGCCGATGCGCATTGAAATCGTGATCGGGTGCTTACTTGTTGCCGAGGAGGGCATGGAGCTTGATGATGAGCTCGTCGTCGTCGTCGGTGAAGTTGCCGCGCTTGAGGTCGGGGCGGAGGTAGTTCATCCAGCGGAGGCGGCAGCTCTTGCCGCAGCGCAGCAGCCCCGCGGCCTTGGGCAGCGAGCGCCAGCACCCCTCGCCGTGCGCCTTGATGTAGCCGATCAGGCGCTGGTCCTCCTCCTTGGTCCACGCCCCCTTGTTGGTGTGCGCCTTCTCGCAGCACGGCGACCTCCCCATGCCGGCGCTGCCTATGGCTGCTTGCTTCCCGCTCTGTTTCTGCCCTGCGCGCCTTTTCTTGGGGTGGAGGTAGCTCGGAGTTTGAGCTCGCGGTTGTACGCAGCAGGGGAGGTGGAGGTGTGGCCGCGCCGTGGAGGGCGAGGCGCGCGTATATATGGGGGTCGTGACGGCGATAGCAGAGCTTTTTGGTGGTTCTTTTGCTGGGTGTTGGTGGTGGTTTCTCGCTCCATTGACCCGATCCCTTTGGGGGATTTGACTGCCTGCGCGGGCGCGAGGGGCGTGCGTCGGGGTTGGGTTGGGTTTGGGTGGGCGTCGCAGGATGCTTGTGAGCGGCGAGCGAGTAAAGATGTGGGCGCGGCGCAGCTAACGTGTTTGATTCCTTGTTGTACTTGCCGGAGTGGAGTAGCTTTGGGGCTTTGGTGGTTGCAAAACGGATCTGCCTCCCCCTCGAAGGGAGTGCTTCTCCACAAAGTTGTTCCAGAGAATTGTTTTCATCAAGAACACAACTAAAAAAAAACTTGAGTCGTCGTGCATCTAAACCTAAATTTGGTCTTTAGTTGGCTTTGGTACAGCCACCTCCACTAGCCGTCCAGCTGATATCAGTTCATTCTCTTTGCAAAAAAAAAAAAAAAAAAAACCCAAGATTTGCTTGAGCGCAGAGGTCCCTTACACAAATATTGCACAAAAAGATTGTAAATCCATTTTCAAGGACTATAATATTAGAAGACTTGTAGCAAGTCACGTGACATGTGTTGGAATTGGAGTACCCTTCTTTCTACTCGTAGCACTGCATGGTAAGCGTTCGTCCGTTCGTTAGCTCAACCGTAATTCCAGCGTCGTGCGCCTAATTAAAGAACGAGCTTCTCGTAACAAAAACGAAATCATGGTGCAGGAACACGTCCCAAAATTTGGTGGAGCAACCGCCACCGATTGCCTAGCTAACAAGCAAAGCCCCCTAGCTGTGCGCCCGTGTCCCTAGCGCTTGTCATGCGTGCGTGACTAACCCCATTTTTCTATGATTCTGTCATCCCCCTCTTGGCGCCAAGGCAATAATTTAAACCTTGATTAGGTAGTTCGTGTCCAGCCAGCACTCGGCCTGGTTGGTAGCCCGGGTGAGCTCGCTCCGCTTAAAATAATCAGGTGATCCCCCGGGGGTCAAAACTGACGCGCCGCCGGCCGGCCGGGTTGCCGTTTCCGTTGGGCACTGCCGACTGCGCCGCTCGGTGGATCCGCCCGGCGGACGCATGATCCATCGTACGTAAAAGCGACACTTCGCTTGGGTTGCAAGATGTCAAAACTAATGTAGACATGTATATTATTACTCGTGTGGCCGTGCACGGATGGCGTATCTACGGATGGAACGGAGCGGACCGATCTACTTTCACTTGCCTGGGATAAGGGGAGAGGGTAGCAGTTAGGACAGTGACGACACCGCGAGTCCCCTGATTCGTTGGAGAAGAAAAAGTTACTGCACGGCGTTTTCAAGGTGTTAATTGCATCGTAACCTTTTTCCCATTTGCTTGCCCGTTACACTCACTCAACCGCCTGCGCGAATGGTCTGCGGTTGTACTATACACCAACACCGACGGTGATGAGAGATCGGTACTGTATGTGTACTGGTAGCTTAGCCGTGTTAATCTAATTCTACTGTTTGGAAGCCAACCGTTACCGCTCCACACGGGTGGATTTATTATGTCGATAGACGCATCGTCTCGATCGATCATCGATGATGCCGACCGCGACGAAACAAAAGTTTTACCCAGCGTTTTGTTGCTGTTGCGCCTGTGGAAGGATGGCGTACGTATATCGGCAGAGGCGAGTGGCCCATGTAAATTTTATTATAGTTGAGGTGTTTTGTATTTCCGATGAATTTTTATAGTAGATCTGACAATTTCCGTCCAAGAAAAAAGAGAGGGGCTGGAACAAGTGGGGTAGACGAGAGGCGATACCGCATGCGCAACTAGGCTAAGCCACCATGCATACGAATCGACGTCAAGAAGAAACCCAATATCTTTGGGCGCGCAGGCCTGCCTGCCTGCCTGCCTGCGCGTGCGACGTAGCGTAACAAGTTGTGGTGGTGCATGCCTCGATCGAGCCAGTCGTCGGTACCCAGAGTGGACAAATTATGGAGCGAGATCGACCCTGTCACGAGTCAAGATGCGGGGCACTGTACGTGCACCCAAGCACTAGGCGTGCCGGCGCAAGTGGCAGCATGTGTGCGTTCGCCCGATCGGTGTTTGCAGCACAAGTCAGCGCGTGCGCTAGCCACCGCCGGAGCGCGGCGGGCGTGATCGACGGATGCATGGTGCGCGCGGCGTCTCAAGCCTCAGCAACAGCGAAACGAGCGGTCCAAGTCATGGCTGGATCCTGGGACGCGCTGCCTTTTAGTACTTGCGGGTTAGATGCGTCCCACGGCGCACCTTCACCGTCTTTCTGCTCACTGCTCTTAGTTGCCGTCGTCTCTCTCTATCCTGCCATCAGCGAGGGATCGTTGTCGGCCCCGCGGAACCGGCACGAAACCGCGAAATTTTCACCGCGTACGCAGGGGAAAACGAAGTTACGTACGGTGGTGCGGTGCTCCGTCCTAGTACTAGCCGGCTACTGCCTAGGTCAGAAGCAACAGTAACGATGTTGGCCAGAACCAGAAATCCACAGCAAGCTTCGGTTTGTGAATTGTGGTTGGTTTAAAATGAGTGAAACACCGGCCGGATATATCTTTTGTGTCGTTTAGGGTTTCTGTCGCGTTCACGAAGAAGAGGCGATGGTGGCTTCTTAAAGGTGAGATAAGGTTCTCTCTCTGTTTCGGTCGTGCGCCTAGCGTTATCGTAGGGCATGTGCAGGTGTGTTGGCGGATCCCACATGATTCGGTCGGTGCTGGTCTTCGGTGAATCTGCTTCGATTCGGTCTTTATTCGTCTTCATACGTGTGTCTACAAGTTAGATCATTTTGATTTGTAAATCTCTTCATCGATGATTGTTGCTGTTCCGGTGCGCTGGTCCTGTGGGGTCGTAGCACGGCAACTTACTGATTGTCTTCCGCTAAGTTCGGCCCGGCTCCAGTGAGGAAAGGTTGATGACGGGCGGCGCGCTTTCACGACTCGTTCCAGGGCATGTAGTCATTGTTAGGTGGTCTATAGACATAGATGTAATTTTTATCATTTCTATGTTCTTTGTACTGCCATGGCATTGATGAATAGATCAGAAGTTTCCTTGAATAATAATAATAATAATAGTAATAGTAGTAATAATAATAATCATAATCATAATAATAATAAGTCAAAAATTCTAAAAATATTTTTGAAATAAGCTTGACTTATCATTGTACTTGTAAATTCCACAAGAAAGACCATTGACCTCAAAAAAATCCCTGGCATCAAGGGTGGTTTTCTATTCACGGCAATTTATATACTGATGCAAATGAAAGTTAAGTTTATTAAAAAAAAACTTCTACAGTAATATTTTCATCATTTTTCCTCATATTGGGTGTAGATACACCTAAGGACCAAAGGGCATTTCCCCCGGATTTACCATACCCCTCCCTCAACACAAGCTCCTTTTTTCTCTTTATTTATTTATTAAGTAACTCGATGGCCGTCGGCTGATCGGTCTCGGTGCTTCGAGTCCCGGCCGTACATGCCTCCGTCCCGACGAACGAACCAACCGACGCACTATCATGCATCGGATCCGGATCCAGCTCCAACGGGTCGGCGGTAGCTCTCAGCCAAGTGCAATCCAAAAGGACGCAATGATGCCCGCCGCGAACCACCGGCCTCCGGGGCACGCTGTGCGCCACTGTGCATTCCAATCCAAGTGCATCCATCTCCATCCCCTCCCTCCCGTAGGCCCGTGCAGATGCAGCAGCGCAGGCGCGTCGTCCTCCCCTCCCCCACGGGGCCACAAGTGACAAGTCCCATGCAATGCAAGTGCAGCCCGGCCGTTCCGTCCAGCTACGATATATAGCCTGGTAGCTAGGTAGGTGGCCGCGCGGGTTGGTACGGGGTCAAACCACGCCCCACGCCCAGCGCTGGCTAGCTGGCTGGATCACTGTGCGCGGACGGCAATCGCTCCTACTGCACGGGTCGGCAGCCCGCCACCGTGCAGTGTGTTCTGTGTGCTCTGGGCCGCTGCCACTTGCCGCCGAGACGTGGGTTCGTCTCTCTCTCGGATGCCACGGAGGAGCCGGGAGGGTTCCGCGGCCTCGGCTCGGCGGGCTGGCCGCCGTGCACGGAGCGCCATTGATGGAGCTGTTGCACGGAGGCACGATCATGTATGAGTAGATCGCATTCTAATCTGCGGTCCTGCCGCGAAATCAATGCAGGCGACGGCTGAACCTACCTTCCCGGAGCTCGAGATGGAACACATGGGTTGGAGTACGCGGTGTTGGAAGTTGGATGGCGTAATTGGCAGGTAGGCACGGGTCTTAATCTGTGGTGCTATGCGCGAAAAGTCCACGGAGGGTGGCAGTAGTAATGGCGATACCTCATACGCCACTAACACTTCATATACGTACATCTATACCTTTTGTTTTGTTTCACAAGTCCCCTTCGTCAGTGTTGGGTAACTGCGGCTGACAGCTGAGCTTTTCGCCCTGTGGATTTTCTTCGTCGAGCTCCTTCGTTCGTAGTACTAGTATACCTGCAGCGATAAACAACAGGAGACGTCTAGTTTACTTCGCTTTGTTCCCTGTTAGCCGGTCCAATGCATGGGTGATACGATGGTCATGGCAGGGCGGAACACTGTGGCCAAGTCAATATACGACAGCACTGTACACTGCATGCTAGCGTAGGCTGGTGGCGGTGGGCGTGGCGCCTGCTCCGTGTCGACCCGGTAGACAAAGCTTTTCCTCTTCTTCTTCCTCTTCCTCTTTGAACAGTGCAGCGCAGGCTAGCTAGCCATTAAGGACCAAGGGCCTAGTAGTGTGTGGCTAGCTGTCAGTGCCTGAGTGGCAATGTGGTTTACCTAACTGTACATCCATTACTTCGGTGGCCACAGTGTCTGCAA